AATAAAACTAAACAACATAAACTTTCCAATATTGCTGTGCCAGGAAGAGATGGTGTGAAACAATTGGTTATTTTGCACGCTCAAGCCCCCTACGCAGTTGAATCAACCGGTGTTTGTCGTATGGTTTTGTATCAGCTGCTACAAAGAGAGTTGTGTCTGAGCTCTCCTTTCCCATTCCAATAAGCAATTGAATTGTGGATAAGCTAGAAGGTATTTGAAGGAATGAGGTTAGTTATTCTGGATTTTTCCTTCATTTTAGCTGAACATCGGTTCCACGTGTTAATGGTAACTCTGTGAGTTTACTGTTTTCTTAGGGGATCAACATACAATAACATACTGGGAAAGATACGTGATTGGCTGTGAATCATTTGCTCCTGAGTACTAGTTCTTTAAGTCTTTGCATTAAACTTTGAGATGTTAAAGGCAAGTCGAGTTCTTTCTCGGATAACACTGAATGGTCATCTTTCTTTTAGCCCGTTTGAGTGGGAGAAATAATAAAAGAGTAGTGTTCAGCCACAATAAATACTTCTTAATCAAGCTGCTTTTCAGGCAGTTCTTTGTTTAAAAATAGTCTTTTTAAATTTTAGAATCTGTGTGCCAAAAAAGATCTGGAAGATAACTGGTAAATGCTCAAAGGGGTTTTTTTGTTTTTGAAAAGGGAGACGACCTAAGCATAGTGTTATCAGCGTTGATTTTCTGGTTTTCGTATAGTACATCTTATACCATTGTAACTTTGCAAGTCGTATTAAAGCAGCTATTGTAATGTTTTAGATCTGTAGTTCAAGTGAAGACTCTTATTTTATGAATGTTCATAGGGTCTGTGTTCCAGGTAACAGATTTATGTTCTGTCACTGGCAAATTAAAAAAAGGAGTCTTAATGTATTTTATTGCTGTGTTAGACAGTTGAAATTTCACTTAGGAAGCAATAACCAGTGTTAAAGCAGGAAGCCAAAACCCAGCATCGTAGCAAAGACTACAGAGGCACTTAGAAAACGTCAGCAGTTTTGGGTGGATTTTTTTTTTCTTTCCAATCCTTTTATCAGTAAGGCTCTTGCAATTCACATTTCAAGATCAGGAAAACAATATTAGACTTGCAGCGGGAGTTAATCTGTGTCCAAAGCATTTTAGTTAAATTAAAATAAAAACTAAAAAAATCTATTGACTTGTGCCAACTCTTGTTTGAGTCTGGGTTAGACTAACGTGTGGTCTGCTGTGCTGTGAGGGCATGTGAGCTACAGCTGCTGGGTTTTGTTAGCTCCTGCGTCTCTGATCTATGCAAACTTGAAGTCAAAGTTCTTGCCTATCTCTGTGGCTGTTTCCCCATCTCTGAAATGAGAGTGCTGTTTCCGTAGGGGCGTTCCTTGCATGCTGCTGGCTGGGGAAGCTGGTGGTCGAACGTGCCCAGAATCGTCGCCTGCTGTGCTTTTCACCTAGTCGGTTCCTCTGTGAGCTGCTGCCGAGGCCTTTTCAAGCGTGTTTCCATCGGACAGGACCCCTGTATGAAGGAGGCGGGGGGACACTTCCAAAAAGAGACCACACTTCATTGAGGCTGTGGCCGGTTGCAGAATCTCTGTGCTATTTGCACTGCTTGAAAGCTGTGTGGCAGGCTGAACTAGATGAAACTTGTCTGTATTTATGAAAATAAGAGGAAGAATAATTTAATCCAAAAACATCCGTTTAGCTCAACGTGTCTATTTTATCAGTACGCAAATGACTGTGTTCCCGTTGTTGTTGGGCTTGCTGCTTTCTGTACAGAGGAACCTATGTGAATGAGGGTGCTGCTGACATACTGGCACATTTTCGTCTGTCCGTAGGTCAAGTGCTTTTGGTCAGCTCTCTAACATTGTCCATTAGGGTGAGGATTTTTAGAAGTGTGTATTTCTCAAAAGGCGGAATTTTTCAGATTTCCTCCTTAGCATCCATCACGCATCCAGGCATTGGACTCGTCTTCCATTACAGAAGTAGATGGCTTGAAACCTCTGTGTGAGAAATAGGAAATGTATTAGCAATCATAATTTATTTTTCTTCAGAGAAGTTGTTTATTTTTTCTTGAATACCACAATACTTTTTTGTCCTTTTTTTTTAGGGTTTTGGTTTGCGGTTTTTGGGTTTTTTTTGGTCTCACATTGGTTTATCTGGTTTTCTGCAGTTACTGTTAATAACTAATATTTATCTTGCATACTGTCAGCTTCCCGTTATGTCTGTTAAGAGAAGTAGGGAATGAAAAGCTGAAACTTTAAGATAAACTATGTAGACGAGTTGCTTGTTAACAGCCTTCTGCTCCCTCAGAGCAAATGTTACGAAGTGCAGGGGCTGAGCCCGGTTGGTGTTTGCTCGCTTATGAAAGATGCCAAACAAAAGTTTGGCACAGTCTTGGGAAGCAGAGACGAAC